GCATGATGTTTTTATTGTAAAAAAATTATGCATGAAAATACTTTACATTAGAAAGTATACAAAATATATTTACAAAAATAAAAATTATTTACAATATATCAAATTATTCATTGTCTGAAACGTCATTCTCGTCGGATTCTAACTCCACCTCTTCGTCTATTGCAGGACAGTTTTGACAATTATCGCCAGAGCATGTTCCACACGTAGCATTGCAAAATAGACCTAGTCTACGACAGCCACACGCTGAGTCGCAACCCTTTTTGCAATTGCAAAAAATCCTTTTCAATAGTTCTTCTGGTGCAGGTGAACTTTTCATTTTTATTGGTTGTAAAATATCATCACTCTTGAACCATCCCCAATCCGTCAATCCGTTATATCAATCTCTTTGTTTCCAAGCCATATCTGAGTTTGTAAATAAACTCTTTTGATATGCTCATCCAGGGAACTTACAGTTGGTACAAGAGATAATAATTTAACTGCACTATTTTTCGTTGTGGCTTTAATAAAGGATTCGTATTGCATTTGTTCAAGTAATGATGAATAATCTTCGACCTTATTCATTTTGTTCCTGTGGGTGTCTTTGGCAAGGCCATATAGCAAAATTGTACAGTATATACATGTATATATATATATATATATATATATATATATATATACATATATATATATATATATATATATATATATATATATATATATATATATATATATGTGTGTATTATATACATATTTGTGTGAGTGTTAGTGTGTCTGTTACCAGATTTTCGAATATACTTGAATAAAGCTTTTATATATTCAGAGACAAGGACCCGAGAGTTGCTTTCATAAAGTCCTCGTAGACACACCGTCTCAGGACTTGGTACAAGAGATAATAATTTAACTGCACTATTTTTCGTTGTGGCTTTAATAAAGGATTCGTATTGCATTTGTTCAAGTAATGATGAATAATCTTCGACCTTATTCATTTTGTTCCTGTGGGTGTCTTTGGCAAGGCCATATAGCAAAATTGTACAGTATATACATGTATATATATATATATATATATATATATATATATATATATATATATATATATATATATATATATATATATATATATATGTGTGTATTATATACATATTTGTGTGAGTGTTAGTGTGTCTGTTACCAGATTTTCGAATATACTTGAATAAAGCTTTTATATATTCAGAGACGAGGACCCGAGAGTTGCTTTCATAAAGTCCTCGTAGACACACCGTCTCAGGACTAGCAACCTCACGTGGAGTTATATGTCGCCATGTCACCAAATCCAACGGTAACTTTAACATCTTAATATTTTATAAGAAATAATGTTAACTAAATTTAACTAAATAATTTTAAACGGGTTTTTACCCACATGTTTAGTGGCTACATTCATGTACACCTAGACACTGATGATGGAATATGGATTCCGAAAACGTTTTGTCTAACATAATCCGTTTGGGATTTTAAATATATACCTTTTACAAAGGATTTTAATAATTTTTTAAAAATTGATATCTGATATCTCATGGTTTACTGTCATTAATATATAATAAGTTTTATATGGGCGTATCGTTGGTGTTTTCGAATAAGGTAAAGTGGAGATATGTTATAACTTTGAGAGACTTTTATGGTGTTATATTTATTATTATTTAAACCAGATTGACATATATTTTATTTAGGTTCTGTGAATATTTTTTGTCATCGATTGCGTTGGTATTTCTTTTTATTTCTATTGCTTCGTTCTACAAATTACTTATAAAGTTACAACCAATTTTTAACTCCCTGTAATTAAGAAGAAGCAAAATAGCAATGATCTATTGCTGCTACATTTTTTGTTGATTATCAAAAGTTTAAAAAATTATTGATATTGCTAATTTTCTTTATATCGAATACAGGGTGAGTCCAAACGCAAGTAATTTTAAATAGAACACCCTGTATTTTATGTCACTATCTAAACGCAAAATTACCATACTTCAATTTTTATTTAATATTTTCTATGCTTAATTTTATTATTTTTTTGAGATATTTCCATTTTTTAAAGCAAATTATTAATAAGGTGTCTAAATGTTCACAAATCTTAAGTAAGCCATGACTGAATTGTCTATAACTGACATTTCACCATTACTGATTATTAAGCCGATAACCAATGTAACAAATAAAGAATATATAAAATTTATTTTTAACGTAACCTCAAATATGAGTTCATATTATTAAATTCTGGCGATCTGGGTGTCCACGCTACTGGTCCATTTCTTATAATCCATCTATCAGGTAACTTATCGTCAAATTTACATTAAATCTATTTATTATTCATAAACCCCAGCGAGTTAATAAAGAGAAATAACAGCCTATCTCTCTCACGAAGACATTATTTATTTTAAAACAGTCTCGGGTTGTCAATAAAATAATCAAACGAAGCTTAATTCCGCAATGCCAATTATGTCAAAAGTAATGAAGATCTTCCGTTTGTTTACAAGTTTTCAATTTTATTTTATTATCTTTTACTTTCGTTTGCATTTATTCTTAGTAATTTTAATTTAAGTTGGTTACTTGGTTTTTAAAGTTTAGTTTTAGTTACCTATTATAGCAAAGAATTTTTGTGTTGTGCTAGTAAAAAAACTAAACATGGTGAAGTATTGTATTGTTCCGTTGTGTACAAATCATGGAAAAATTAGAAAAAGGATGATGAGAGTAAGTTGTCATGAAGCAAACAATAATAGTATTTAACATTTGTTTCTGAAAATATGTGTAATAAATATTATGTAATTAGTTTACAACTGTTTTATCTTAAACAACAAATAAATATACGTATATCTAGAAAAAATTGTGCATCTTTTAATTATATCGTTATTCTAGAGTAAATTTTAATAATAACGAAATAGCCCGCAAGACGCGCTAATGGGTATGTATGTAAGGGGTGTCCATTCGAATTTGCCGCCAAAAGATGATTAGTATTAACCCCAGCCGCAAGGGGTCCTAATGAACGAAATTTTTTCATTGAGTTGCCTATCTATTTCTATTATATTATTTATCTATGGTTTCAGAGTTAATACTGGCGTTGCTAGTACCGAGACAATCCTTCACTGGCTGACCGCCAGACCGCGAATTATCTGTTTTCCATCACGAGGGGTAAAGAATGTCGCCTCTTAACCTTGAATAGACTGATCAGCGCGCAGAACTCACTTTTTAGAGGCATCTGGCAGAGGCATATGTCAATGTATACAAACAATTGGATTATGTTTATTCCTCGTTCAAAGATTGTGAGACAAATTTTTGAGTGTTTCTCTGTCAACCACCACGTAAGAGCTAAAACTGAACAAGTAGGAACAGATTTCGTTTAGCACAAATAAATTTCTATGTTGGAACAACAGTTGCATGAGGAAAGGTGCTCTAAAATGTGAAAAGACCATTTGTTTTAAAGTGAAACCAACGCTAGAAAAAAAAGTATAAGTATATACTACAGATGCACATACTCGAAATTGTCGTTGAAAATCAGATAAAATAATTCAGTAGGAATTAAAAACCACGTGTTGTTTCTACGACATAGCTATTCATTTCTGTTTTTTTTTTAGATACATTATGGTGGGTAAACACAAGAGAACGTCAACCAGACAATAAAACAATATCAGAATACTAAGCTAATGCTAAATAAAAGAGCTAAGGAGTGCGCAAAAATTTTGGGACTTTTTTGAACAACATTTAGTGACGATAAAGAAAAAGAATTTATTAAGCACATACTGCCAAATTTCAAGTAAATTCTCAAATACAAAATTGTTTCATCATCAACCTGTATGCTTCCACTGTTGGACATAGGTCTCCCTCAGCTCTTTTCATCTGTCTCTCTCTTGTGCGGCTTGCATCGAGTTATTGCTAACACACTTTAGGTCGTCAGTCCATCTAGTTAGTGGTCGTTCTTTACTCCGTATTGCTTTTTGCATTAGTCTCCACTCTAAAATATGTTTTGTCCATCGGTTGTCTGATAATCTGGTGACGTGTCCTTCCCAATTCCATTTTGACCACGCGATTTCTTCGTTTGAGATTCGGTCTCTCAGAGAAATGCCCAACATCTGGCGCTCCATAGCCATCTGAGTCACACGAATCTTATTAACTACCTTTTTTGTGAGAGTTAACGTTTTCGCTCCATAAGTAAGTACAGGTAACACATTGCTCAAAGATTTTCCCTTTGAGCCATATTGGTAGATCCGATTTAAATATATAGTTTAATTTAAAAAACGCTGCTCAGGCGTTTGGTAAATTAAGCTATGTATTTTTTTTATTATTATTAACAACAATTTTTAATATGTTGGAAATGACCCTAGATAAAGAGAAAATTGAAGTTTATTGGATTTTTAATATGGACGAAAGTAGTTTGTCTACAATACAGAAGCCTCCAAAAAAAATTTACAAAAACTGGAAGAAAGCAAGTTGGATCGTTAACCAGCGCCGAAAGAGGTCAGCATGTAACATGTGTCTGTTGCATGAAAAGTACATGTAATTTTGTACCGCCAGATTTGATTTTCCCTAGGAAAAATAGAAAAAAGGAATTTCTGAATGCTTTACCTCCTGGGTTCTTGGGATTATTTCATGATACTGGATGGATGACAGCTGAAACCTTCCTAAAAAATGGAATAATTGTTGTACGCTTCCCTACTCACTGCACACATTGTATCCAACAGCTTGATGTTTCCTTCTTCGGTACCCTGAAAACATTGGATAACAAGGAAGGAACACTATGGTTAAAAACCCATCCCGGGCGGATAGTCACATAGAATGAAATCGGCGAACTTTTTAATTCTGCTTACGGAAAAGCAGCAACAATAAAAAATACCACAACCGCTTTTTGAAAACGGGTATTTTTCCAGACGAGCTTTTTGGACCAGCTGAGACCACAAATAGAATATTAGCAATAAGTAGTACAGAAGAAAATAGAAAATAGGTCTAATCTACCAGAAAAGTTTGTCAGAAAAGAAATAGACGAATGTAGTGTTATGAAAAAAATGGCGCAACAAGAGCAAGGTAGCACTTAAAAAATAAAGAAAATCAGACCAGAAGTGATCAAAAAGATAACAATACGAAAGAAAATATATCTATTTCAAAAAAATTATTACACTGTACTAAATTTTTTTAGTGCCTGTAGCAAGTAAAACTGGACAAACAATTTCCGGAGTTTTAACAACTACTCCTAATTTGGAGGAAAAGAAAAGATATGACAATGTTCATCGATTTAAAAAGAACATTTTAAGTAAGCCAAGTTTCATTGCACAGACAGAAAGTGAACAAGATCTGTTTGCAGCCGAAGATGATGAGGAGGATGTGATTTGTCTTTACTGCAATGATTTATTTAGAAATTCTCGGTCCAGAGAGAAGGGGGGGTTCTGCAAAAGTAAAAAAGTTTATTTGTGAGCTTTGTCAAGTCAAGTGGTCTTGTTCTGTTAATTTACCTAAGTATATTTTTATGTTTTTATGTTGGTACCATTTATTGTGAGCATATATGTCATTTTACACCCACATGACTGTGTCGTTTTGCATAATATATGTTTGTAAAATGACATAGGGTAAGGTTTTTAAAAAAATACTTTTTCATAAGTTTTTTATAGAGATGTGTTTTCATTTAAGTATATGAATAAAACGTATTTAAAGTAATGGTTTACATTTTTTTCAGTTCAATATTTTGAATGGTATCTGCAAAAAAATTTCTCAAAGAAAAGTACCTATGTCATTTTAGGACACCTTTCACTATGTAGCAGAATTTAGTTTTACATCTAGAATCTACCTTTGGTGTTACTCAGGGAACTTATTTCATTCGGATTATTCTAGATGTTTTTGTGAGTGCTGGGTATCGAACTCGGGTTTTCTTCATTATGTTTCACCACTTAAGCTATCTGTCATCCAGAGCTGGGATTCACATTCGTGCGTGAACAGTTGTCGTGCTTACACGTGTATATTAGAAGTTTAGTGCAATCAATAGTTTTAGAAGACAATAGTAATTATTTGAAAATTAGTTATAATTGTGGTTATAAGGGTGTTGTGAAAGATTAGTGCATTCATATGGATCTGGATGATGGGGGGAAACCCCCTCCTCCTCCGGACCCTATAGAAAACTTAGATCTAAGAAATAATCAGATAAGTGGTTCAAATCATTTAAATTTAATTATAGATTCTTCTGCATTGAATCGGAATATTAAAGATAAAAAAAATAAAAAACAAATTGTATTACAGGATAAGATAGTTGAGGCTGGTTTTAATCCAGAATCAAGTTTTTCCGTTAACAATGATAATAATGAATCGAACAAAAAAGTAATAACAACATTTCTTTATCAGTCTACTGATATAGGCCCGTTTCAGATTTACATTGAAAATAAAATGGATAATTATTTAGGTCAAATAAACGCAATAAAAATTGGAGAAATAATTTTAACTTCACATTCGGAATTAGACAAAAAAATAAAACAAATTCAGTCGATAGGAAGAAATCGAATTCGGGTTTTTTGTAAGGATTATTTGAGCGCTAATATATTGTTAAAATCTCATATTTTAGAAAATAAAAACTTGTCTGCTTATATTCCCAAATTTTTAATATTTCGATTAGGAATTATTAGATTCATTGATAAAGATTTACCAGTTGAATATTTAAAAAATAAAATTAGGGCCTATGATTTTCATTGTAAATTTGAAGTGGAATTTGTTAAAAGAATGAACAGAAAAGTAAAAAACTCAAATAACGAAACAGAATTAATACCTACAAGTACTATTTTGGTTTCCTTTAAAAGTCAAACTTTATCTAAGTATATAGAAATGAATAAAGTTCTTTACAAGGTAGAAGTTTATAAACAAAGAGTTGTAATGTGTAATAATTGTTACGGTTATGGACATATTAGTAAACAATGTCGAAGCAAAATAAGATGTCTTAAATGCTGTCAGAGTCATGACACAGTTACTTGTTCATCAGACGAATTTACAGTAAAGTGGTTTTCTTGTAATGGAAACCATTTTACTAACGATTTTAATGTATGCCCGGAGTACAACAGACAAGAACAAATTAAACAAAGGATGTCACAAACAAATTGTTCCATCAAGGATGCTAGTAGTAGTATTCCAAAAAAAAGTTATGCAGATATTGTATCTAAACATTTACCTTCAAAAGCAGTTGATAATACAATAGTTAATTCTAATTTACAACAAAGATCTTCATTAGAGTCAGTTAATGTTCATGTAGCTTCAACATCGTCCAAGCCCTTTTCACATATATCACACCAATCCAATACTCGACCCATTTCTCAAAGACCGAATTCCCAGTCATACTATCAAGCCCAATTAAATAACTTAACAAAAAAAAGTAAAAGATCTTATCCTTTATCTCCCGATCATACATTGTTAGAGCATCAATCCATTATTAGTTCAGTTAATCTTTCTTTTAAGAAAGGGGGAATTTTGAGTTCAGAACAATATCAGTCCAATATTCAAAATGAAAATAAATCAGAAAATGTCATAAGAGAAACCGAAAATAATGAAATTGCAACTGTCATTTTTCGGATAAATACAATAAATACAATAAATAAAAAACATAAATACAATAAAGAACACAAATAAATTAGACATACAAGAAAACGAAATTACAAATATTATTAAAACTAGCTTAAATAACCTTTTTGAACATGGATCATATAACTCTATGTCAATGGAACATTAAATCGGCAAATTCAAATAAAGAAAATTTACAATATTTGTTAAATGATCTTAACATTGATATAGCTTGCTTGTCAGAAACTAGATTTACATCAAATAAATATTTTAATCTTCCAGGTTACAACATTGTGAGGGATGACCGTTTAGCACGCAGTGGCGGGGGAACGGCCATCCTTATTAAATCAAAACTTTTGTATACAGAATTACCTATATCTGTTTTACTACCTAATTGTAATCAATCATCCATTCTTTTAAAATGTAATGATAAAAAAAATATTACCATTGTATCGCTTTATGTTCCACCAAAAACTAAAATTTCGTTGCATATTTGGGATCAATTCTTTAGTTCATTTAATCCACCTGTAATTTTTACGGGAGATTTTAATTCACATAATATTGCCTGGGGTGGGCCAAACACAGACCACTATGGCATAACACTTATGAAAGCTCTTGACCGAAATAATTTTGTATATCTCAACGATGGATCACCTACATTCAAAGGGAATTATTTGCAATCTCATTCTGCTATCGATCTGACAATTTGTTCTCCTTGTATAAAACATTTACTATATTGGCACACAATAAAAGATCTTTATGGGTCTGATCATTTACCATGCATTACACAAATATATATGGTACCCAAAGTTAATAAATTACTATCTTGTAGAAAATGGAATATTAAAAAAGCAAACTGGGATATATATTGTATGGAGTTTCAAGAACTGATCGATAAAACAGAAGTTGGTGATTACATTTATTTTATAAGAATAGTTGAAAATGCAGCAAACCTTTCTATACCTAAATTTAAATCAAATCAAAGTTCAAATAAAAATAAACAATGGTGGAATGAAAAATGTCAATTTCTAGTACGGAAACGAAGAAACAATTTTCATAAATATATGAATAATCCCACACTAGATAATTTGTTAGAATATAAAAGAACCGATGCTATAGCAAAAAAAACCTTCAAACAAATAAAAAAAGATAGTTGGGAAAATTATTGTAAATCACTCAACAGATCAGTACCTCTTAAGAATATATGGAAAAAGGTAAATAATTTTAAAAATCGAAAATATTCAAATCAAAATCAATCAGATCATGATGAATGGCTTGCTGAATTTCACTACAATTTAACCCCTCCATATGTATCCCCTGACCCAACTGTTCTTGATTGTGTAGATATAATAGATCATATTATTAGTGGACATTATCTTACCAACCAGTTTTCACTTCAAGAATTAGACTTGGCACTCAAAAAATCTGCCAATACAGCTCCAGGTTCTGATAATATACCATATCCTATGTTGTTCAATCTTCCTAGATCAGAAAAAATTTTGCTTTTAAATCTACTAAATGATATTTGGTTAAATAAAGTCGATATACCTTCACAATGGAAAAATTACATTTTAGTTCCCATACTTAAGCCAAGAAAACCAAAAAATCATACATCGTCATATAGGGCTATATCTTTAGCATCATGTGTTCTAAAAACATATGAAAGAATGATAAAATCAAGACTAGAATTTTTTTTGGAATCTAATAATCTTATTCACAGTTCTCAATTCGGATTTCGAAAAAAAAAATTGACATATGAAAATCTGGCCAATTTTGTTACAGATATTCAATTATCACTCTCCAATGACCAGTTAACATCAGCTTTATTTTTAGATATAAAAGGGGCATATGACAACGTGAAATTAGACATATTGTATAAAAAAATGTGTCAAATGGGAATTCCCCAAAGTCTGTCTAAACACCTATATAATATATACAGCAATAGAAATTTATTTTTCAGAGAAAACCACTTATTCTCTGAATGCAGACAAACATCTATGGGTTTGCCACAAGGTGGTATATTAAGTCCTATACTTTATATTATTTACTCAAGTGATCTAGTTGTTGACATCCCACATAATATATCTATTTTGCAATATGCTGATGATATTGTTATTTACACACGCCACAAATCCATCGAGATAGGCCACAAACAACTCAATTATGCAATAAGAAATTTAGATAATTGGATTTTCAACAACGGCCTATTAATTTCCGAAGAAAAATCAGTATTAGTTACTTTTACAAGAAAAAGATATCGGTTTCCTCAACAAATAAAATTATCTAAATATTTGTTTCCTTACAAATCTTCCACTAAATTTCTAGGAGTGATTTTAGATTGTAAATTGAATTGGAAGGAACACATAAATTATATAATCAAAAGAACAGAAAATAGTGTTAATTTATTAAAAACATTCGGTCATTCATCCTGGGGAGGGGATCCAAAAATAATGTTACTATTTTATAGAACACTCGTTAGAGCTATTTTAGATTACGGATCTATATTTTATCATTCAGCAGCAGAGATAAATCTTATAAAAATAGATAAAATAAAAACAAATGCCTTCGACTCTGTATTGGATACTTGGGAAGTACGCCTATAGACGTTATGGAAACAGAAACATGCGAACCGCCATTGAATCTTCGGAGAAGATTTCTATCTGACAAATTCGTGTTAAAGTTAAGAAGTCAGAAATCCAAGTTACTGGTTAAAGTATCTAGTTTAGCTGGTTTGGTTTTAACATCTAAATATTGGGATAAGAAAAAAATACCATTATTAGTTGAAAGTTTCATTACCAATGTTCACAGATATGAAGAACTTTATAAATCCAATGGAATCCCTTTATGGAATTATTCTTATGAAATGTTTCTTTCTCCAGTTA